AGCGGGGTGTGTGCGCATTTGTGTGTGTGTCACTTGCATCTATTTTGGCGTGTGAGTCTGAGGTTTGGGGAGGCATAAAGATCTTCCATAGGAGCGGATTCAATTCACTGATATTAATTTCCTTCTCTGCAGTCATGCATAAACAAAGAAAATCTCCTCGGCTGTCTACAGTATGTGTTTCGCCCTGCTGCGCGTGCCTATAATGTGCTCGGCGCTGATATTGATGTATGTGCCCATATTTGCCCAGTCATCTCTTTATGTGGCTAGCCCTCCTCTCCTCTATCTCAGTCAGATCCTAAACTAATCCCCAACCCTGCTACTCTGACAAGAAAATCCCCTATTTTAATGCATGCACACACCCACTCTGTCTTCCTCACTTGCCCCCGGCCACACACCCCAATCACACACTCAGACACACACACACACTTTCTTTTTTATCCCTCTGTGTACCTGTACACAGCATCTCTCTCGGTCTCCTTACCTTTTAGTAAATTGGCCTTGTACACAAGTTACCATTTGTGATATTTGCTATATCTTCACAGTGTGGTGGTGTTTCTGGAAATTCACACTGTGATGAAATTTTGTCTTCTTCTTGTTCACACAAGGCAGAATTTGGCAGCACAGTGTCATTATGCTAGAGGCTGTCGGGAAATGTTAACCGAAATCTGTTACAGGCCATTTACTGTAACAAAACGGTAATCAGATAACAGACGTTTGTGATTTAGAAAAGGGGGGATGCATGTTGTGTTACTAAAACAAAGCATCAATAATGCTAACAAATATTTTCAAAGGGTCATAATGGTTGTAGATGATGGCTCACGCATTTTGCAGTATGAGAGTTGGAATACATTTTGTAACCGTGGAATCAATTTTGGAGGCAAAATAATGTAATAAAATGAACATGTTTTTCTTTCTTCAAGCTAATGAGTTTTGTTATTAAATGTTACACTAAGTAATCTGCCCTACAAAAGCAGAGAGCAGTAACGATAGAAGAAGCAGTAATATTGAGGGAAAATGGTTTCAAGTTCAAAGGCAGGCGGCGTAACGTAACAGATACAAAGGTTGTATGCAATGCCTTCACTGTATGCCTTTTTAGGCCAATTACTAGTCTATTATGTACCCCAAATCATTGCCACAGTAACAACCTAATATTTTACACCTAATCTTTGGATAATAGTCAGGAAATGCAAGAAGAACAGCATACCAAAATGTCTTTCAGCATAAAACGTTTGAACTAGTTTGTAACATTACATTGATTAGTAGAGCTCCAAGTCCAAAGAAAATAAACATTTCTCTGTTTTCAGTGTGTCTGTCCTTCTAGTATTAATATTTGTAATAAAGTCAGAATAATACATTAGATTATAACATAATAGATTAAAATATATGATTTTAATGTATCTTAACTGCACCACATAGCATGAATTTCACTACAGTTGAAGCTGACATGGCAGTTATGCTATGGCTACTCTGCTAAGCTAGATACCTTTAGTTTAGGTGTGTTTAGTTAGGTTTTTATTCTGCACCATGATGGGATACACAGCTTAATTTAGTAATATTAAATAACAAATTGATGCAGGTTCACAAAAATGGATGTTTTTCATTTGGGGAAAAATAATTAAGTAGCCTAAATTTAGTTTTAGCTTTTGCTAAAGCTAGCTGTGTCTATCTCACCAGCTAGTTTGGATTAACCTATCTCTCTTGCTTTTGTCTGATTGGCTGTCTTTCTGTGTGACAGTGTAGTAAGTGTGAAGACAGCTTTCAGAGTTCACTCCATTAGAGTCTGGTTACTTTGTCCAATTTGGCTTGGCTTTCATGGAAATTATACATTTCTATTGCATAATAATTTTATTTAAACACAACAAAGAGTTACATTGTGGTCTTTACTCAAGTTATAACAAATATATAGTTTCCTGGTAGTGCACAGTGTGGCCATGAACTGAATCAAATGCATACATACAAGTGGGTGCGGCCTTGGAGCAGTTTATGTGGTGTGGCCTAGAAGAGTGTATTCTCAGCCCTGCTGAACTTTCCCTCGAAAAATAACTGCCCAGGCACAGAAGTCAGACTGAAGGTTTAATTTATGTCCTTTTGGCTGTCAGGAAGCTTGCCAACTCCAGCCTGTTTGTATTTCACACTAATGGCTATAAAACATTTTATTTGTAATTTCTGTATTTTACAACATATCAACACTGATGATAAAACAATACTATTAAGCTGTAACAGGACTGAATACCATAACATATTATTTATGTTTGTTAATTCAGCCTGTCCAGACGACCAATTAAAGGGCATTGTACACATTTAATAATGTGACCATAATGGCTTATATCAGATAAGACACATACAAATACATGTACGAACATCCCATGTTTTGTGAGCTAAACAAATGAAAAAAGATAGATTTCATCTGTGGAATAACTGCTGTCACATTCAGCATCTGAAAAGACTGTCTGCATTTACCAGCCAGGAGAGATGAGGTGCGGTTGACCTTGGCATGTGTGCGAACACACGCACACACACCATGTAGGAGGAAACTGACAAATGGCAGTTCAGCAGCTCAGTTAGATGGTAAGTGTGTGTTTAAACAATGCAGACTGACGCCTACACACGTAACACTTAGTGGCCGATCGGTGATATAAGATTGATTTGGTTCACTTTCTCTCACTCACTCTTTGAAACACACACACGTACACACACAGTGGAATATGAGTGATGTGATTCAGGACACCTCTCGGCAGCCACTCTGCTTTCCATCCTAACGCCTGAGCAGAATACTAATCACTGGATCACATTACAGAGAAAGAGAGAGAGAAAGACAGAGAGAGAGCGATATGGTTGCAGCTATAGGAGGAGAAGAAGCAGCATAGCACGGATCATATCAGATAACAGAAATACAAAGGTGGGCTTCATAAGCCATGGTGTTTTACTTTTTTACATCTACACCTTCCTGTGAGCAGTATGCAAATACGATGGATTTGTGATGAAAAAGTAATGTCATGGGCAGGTGAGAGGAACGCTAAACAGCAGGTTTGGAAGCATAGTTGGAAACAGAGATGACATCAGAGAAAAGAATTAGAAGTTCTGTTCACCTGCATGAAAGTCACCTACAAGAGGCAGCTGCTGTAGAAAGTTATTCCCTTTATGTATTCTGATAAAATAAACGCCTTTATTTGAGTACATTCATTTTATGCTACTTCTTAACAACATTTTAGAAGAAAATATTGTAACCCTTACATTACATTTATTTAACAGCTATAGTAACAATATGTTCTTTTTATTTATTTGTTTTTACAAAACATATAACTATCCTATAAAATATAATCTTATAGATTTAGATATCCAACAGTGTGTAAAACAGTTAAAAGTACCTCCACCAACCGCAAAATTAAAATGTTACATGCAAATGCTTACATAGTCTTTTACAAAACTGTTCTGTTCAAAACCTTACATGCATTCAATTGGACAGCAATTTACCAAATTACAAACCCCACTGAAATACCTTCAAAATCCTAAAAAAGATGGTTATGGAGACATATAGTGAAATAGTATTTATTGAAATTATGTAAATGATACCAACGACAGGTCATTCAAATCTCAGTTAGAGCCCTACCCTGGTCTTTTTACCTATAGTTATCTCATTACCACCTATAAAAAGAGACATCTTTCGAATGTTTTGTTACACCTCCACTCCACTGGAGCCTGCAAGAGATGGAGGAGAAAGAGTGGTACTGAGAGGAAGAGGATTCTTCATGCGTGGTGGTGTAAGACAAAAGCAGAGTTGACCAAGATCTGTAGTCTCTGATGACATTAGGGCTACTGTGATTGACCAGGTAATCAACTATGGGCCATCATTGAAATAGAGCAGCTAAATGTGGCCTGCTCAACGGTGGCATCAATTGTCAGAATCTTCCAGTGAACCAACAGGTAAAATATGTATTCTGAATTGCACATTATCTACTGCTTGTGTGGAATTCTTGTGTTTCCTCTTTAGGACCCAACGACTAACCCCCACAGGGGGGGGGTTTCTTTTAGAGAGTCATGGACCCATCACACACCCCATGTTTATATCACGCCCGCAAGGATGGAATTTGATTGGCAAAAGAGCTAAAGTGGGTGTCCCAGGCCAAAGGGGCACCAATGTTACCATGTGTGCAGTGATAGTGCTGCTACACAGATGCAAGAGACTGGTGAATATACTGTGTGTGTATATATATATATATATATATATACATACCCACAACCAAAAAAATACAGAACACACAATTATTTACTACTTCAAAGATTCCCATAAAATGACTGTAATGATGCCTGTTGTTAGTGTTTTTTAGGTGATTGTGTTATGAGTGACAAAGAGTTGCTGTTGGAGACAACTACTGCTGGTGTTTTTGTAAAATTCTTTGATATTGTAACAAGTATCCAGTGTTTTGGTAGTTTTGGTGCATTTTGGGTGTGAAATTAACTGTTGCTCAAGCTGCGGGTTGGTAACGACAACAGTGTGAAGAGTTTTGAAAAAGTAAACTCAGTACTGACATATGCTTGTTAGCAATTGTAAAAGACTACTTTGGTTCACTGATCAAGTTTTAGGTGAAAAATAATGTCTTTGAAGCTTGTACTGCTGCCCCCACGTGGCCAAAAACTAATTACAGTTTTTTTTACGACCACTTGCATCATTTCATACAATCTGTAGTCACATTTTCAAAACTCTAAACACAATTTGCCCAACGGTCTGTTCATACCATACCAATTTACACAATTCATGTCATTTCCACAGAATATGCAGTCAATTAACTTCAATTAATTAATATTTCTCAAATGCTAAGTTTTTCTTTACTTATAAGCTTACCCAACACCAAAACAGTTTTTTGTGTTATTTACAAATTCTAGCACACAACATGTCAGAAATGAATAAATCATTTTCAAAACTTTAAATAATGTATAAAGCCTCTACTTCTACTACAATAGCAGCTCAAATTCTGAATACATTTCTGAATAAACAATCATTGAAACATTGAGAAATAACTGATTTATTGTAATTTGGGTAAAATAGACCAACCACAGCTAATTCCAATTTTAAGCAGAGACATAAACAGGTGCTGAAGTTCTTTCAGTTACATACACAATGCAGCAAAAAGGGAATTTTCAGGAGTTGAGTTTATCCAATGTGGACACAGAACAACACAGAAGAGTAAAAATAATCTCAGAAAAAGGGTGAAGAATAGTTTCTATCCAGGTACAAAGCGAGAGATGACATTAGATGTGATGTGGATGAGCACATGTGGCCAAATGCTGAAGATCACATGAAATAGAACAGGGCTGTGCATTTTTGATTCTTTCCCTTCTGTGCATTTTTTTTGTTTCGATGTAATCGTGTGTATTTACATTTACATTTACTCATTTGGCAGACGCTTGTATCCACAGTGACTTACATTTGAGGAACAACATACAAGCATCAATAAAGCATCACAATACAGAAAGAGATCTACAAGTGACTGACAATAAATACTGGTAACAGCTATTAGGACATAGAGCATCGATTGGGTAAATACATAGAGAAAGAAGTAAGAGTTAATGAATAGTGCAATCAAGACAAGAGAATTATAAGGATATAGAAGAAGAAGAGCACATGATGTTAGTGGTTAGGGGTTAGAGGTGTTATAAGAGGAAGTGTTTTTTCGGAAGAAAGGAGTTTTCAAGAGCTTCTTGAAGTTAGAGAGGGACACCCCTGCTCTGATGGCATGCGGTAGCTTGTTTCACGTGGTGTTACAGGTGAGAACAGCTGGGACTGAGATTGCTTTGTGCTTAGGGATGGCAGAGAAAGATGGTGTTCGTTGGAGGAGCGAAGTAGCCGAGAAGGAACGTAAATGTATTTGATAGTATTTTTACACATTTTGAACCAAAAGCCACATAGGCTGGATTATTTGTTGACCATTGGCTGCAATTTCATGTTGCTAATAAAGCTTTTACTTCTGTAATTCTTTCACTTACATTTTTTCCTATTCTACATTCTATAAAGTAAAGATGTCTCATTCACTTTTACATAGTTTGTTGCCAAAAATGCACACATTCGAGCCTCAAGCCAAAAATGCAAAAAATTACAAAAAACAATGGATTTCAGATTGTCTACTGTTTGCAGGTAGAGCTGAAACATGAAAAGTAATGCAGTTTTTGTTATGCCATCAACTGTTTGTATTTAGAAAGTCGTTTTGCTACGATTGATTGATCTGTTCCTCTTGGAAAGAAAACGTGCTAGTATTTTGTTAGAATTATTTGATTTTGAGTCAGGTTTGCTGTGAGATTTGATAAAGTTTGTGTATATAGAACAAAATGTGGTTTTGAGCAGAAAATGTACTATTTGACTAATTGTGTGAGGTTGGAGTGTTGCTGTGTTAAGAGTTTTGATAAAGTATCTGAAGTTTAGGTAAGCACTTGTTAGCAAATGAAAAAAACTGTAATGCGTCTTTAAGCACTTTTTGCTGATAATAATGATGTACTTTTTAAGCAACATTTTGTATTCAGGACTTTTACCTGTTGTGGCATATTTTGCACTGTGGTGTTGCTAAGTAAAGGATCTGAATATGTTTTTCCCACCACTGTTGGAAACAGAGATTAGATGAAAAAGTTAAGCCACCTGTACAGAACTCATCCTCAAGTAGCAGCCTATAATAGAGACATTTAGTTCCATTAAATGAAGTTATCGGAAATAATTGTTGGAGCTATTTGTCATGAGCAATGAGTCAGATTAAAGCTCATTTTAGACCAAGCTGGATTATCAAATGCCAGTTTAGGCAGTGCTAGTGTCCTTTATTCTCAGTGCTGCACTTGGCTGTATGGCTAACATGCAAAGTACAAACACCAAATCTCACACATTCTCCCTCTCCTCAGCCTCCCTCCTTTCCCTCCCTCTCCCCAACCCCATGCTGAAGCAATTACGTCCAGTGTGTGAGTCTTCTACAGGCAGTGTGAGGGTGATTGATGATGCTGTCAGCACAGGGAACATGTTTTAACGTCAGAATAATCTCCCTGCTAATATATTACATCCACTGGATAGGGTTCAATCATTACTAATAGCGCTGCTAAGTTGGTGAGAGGGGAGCTGGTGTTGAGAGCACGTGCCTGTGTGTGTGTGTGTGTGTGTGTGTGTGTGTGTGTGTGTGTGTGTGTGTGTGTGTGTGTGTGTGTGTGTGTGTGTGTGTGTGAGTTTGTGTGTGGATCTCATTAATCAGAGCAGAAGTGGAGGCAGGGAAATCTAGTAAGGCTAACCAATAAACAAGTATGCCAGTGCGAGATGGAATAGGGAGTCAGCGAGTGTGTTTACTTCTTACATAATTACTCACTCGTATCCTATAGTTAGTGAATCAACTGAGACGCCGTTATTGTGAATGTGAGAGTCTTACCACCACTTGATATAATATCGTCTTATGAAATGAAAGAGGTGGAAAGAATGGAGCACAAAGGCATCAGGCGCTTCAGAAAGAGGCAGCCTTGTGGTGTCTAATCCGTGCAGTCTAATCTCTCAAATTGCTGTGACGTTTGATGAAGGGGATCGAGCTGGTGTGAGGAGAGAATCGAGCCCCGTCAGAGAGAGAGAGGGAGTGTTTATGTGCTGGGTTGTCTTTTGCTGATGCGTACAGTACAGATCCAGCGGTGCCCTCTGCTTCTGAACAAATCCGTCTTTAAATGCGAGCTGTGTTGTTTACAGCACTTCTCTGCCTCCAGACACCATCCTCTCTCTCTGCCCACACTGCCTCTGTTCATTTGACACTGCCTCCTCTCTTATCTGCTTTGGGTACTGCTGATCAGGTGCACCATCCCCCACCTCCTATAGCTGGGTAGAATATGCATGTTGTTGCATGTTGCATGCACAGGCGTACACATGCACATACATCTGTGAACATGGGAGCAAGAAAGACTGTAAAAGAAAGAACTAAAGACTGTGTGCGTGTGTGTGTGTGTGTGTGTGTGTGTGTGTGTGTGTGTGTGTGTGTGTGTGTGTGTGTGTACAGGAGAGAGTCTATGGGGATTGGTGTTATATTCTGCTGGTGTCAGCTGGCTCGTGGCCTGCAGATTAATGTGTGTGTGTGTGCATATGTGTGTGCACACATATGTGCGTGGTGCAAACAAAGGAGCCCTCACAAACACCCGTAAACAGATTAGCTCGTCTGCTGAGAAACAAAGGGTTAAGAGAGAATGCAGATTTCACAGGGAAGGGGAGGGAACCGAAGCTGTACGTCTAGTTTTGGGGAGCGTGTGTGTGTGTGTGTGTGTGTGTGTGTGTGTGTGTGTGCGTGAGGGGTGAGCGGGGCCAGCGCGGCGGTGGAGCGTCGTGATCCCTCTCCCTAATACTGTGTGGAGAATCTCCTCGCTGGGCTCAGCTGCCAATTCTCCCCACTGTAACAGTTCCATTCTCCTTCTCAGCCGCTGAAACAATACGACCATGCCTTTCTGTGCATCTCCACACAAAGAGCCGAGCGCTGAGACAGACGCTCAGAGTGAACCGAGACACAGCACCAGGACAATAGACTGAGAACAGTTTTGTTTGGCATTGTGTTTTGTGTTTGTGGAGACAAACAATAAAGAAAGTTCCAAGGGACGAGCAACTTTTCCCTCTATTGTTGAAACTCTAAGAGGATGCACAGTTTACAGAAGTAGGAGCTGGTGATTTGCTTCTTTGGGGAATCTGTCAAACTTGTGCGTATCAGTTTTATCTCAAAGAACATTTAGGTAGGAGTCAGACTTGGGGGGAGGAAAACTTGTTTTCCAGTTCCTTTTTGCATGAACTAGAACCCAGGTCTGATCTATTGACTGCCAGACCGCTATCACTCTGTGTTAGCAAGCTTTACCTGCCAATCAGCTTTGTACTATTTCCATCGAAACAACTCAGTTATCCATTATACAGACATAATCAGTGAAAGCTAATATATTTAAAAGCAACAGAAAAAGGTGCATACAGGCAAGATTTCCAACAAAACATCTTTCATTATCCAACACACACACACACACACACACACACACAGAGTTTTCAGTACACTGGTGTACTGGAAGTTCCCCCTCTACTGGTGGCGGTGGATGCTGAGACGCACTGCCCCAGAGGACCACCTCCCTGGGACCTTGAGCCAATCACGACAGCCGAAACAAGCCTTTTATCTACAGGGGCTTATTAAGCTAATTGAATTAGCATGTTGTGGTTTCTGAACCCAAATACGATTAGCCTGTTATTACTGTGTTATCAGGGTCCCTTGTTACAGTAACAGCAGGTTACTTTTGGCTGCTTCATTGGCTCTTTTTCTCTCTCTGCCTGCATAACCCTGGAGCTTTTCACATAGTCAAATATCAGCTCCTTCCTTATCTGTGAGATACCTAGCACAGTTACAGTGTCACTTAAATCAAAGAGAAAGTGCTTCTCATACGAGCTAAAGCTACACCTGCGTTCATGTGCAGATTTGGTGTTTTCACTCAGGCAGACATTACAGGGTCCTTAAAGATGCACTAAGCAATATTTTAATTTCACAAACAGATCAAATGACCATGTGCCCTATCCTCTCTACAGATGCAAGAGGTTGCTGTGTTAGTGGAAAAGCTCGGACAAACAGTATACACACACAAACATCATCTGCCCAGCACCAAACAGCTGATAGACACAGTAGAGACTCCTACTCTCAAAAAGCACCACTTTGTTTCTTTAATGGTGGATATCTAACTTTGGAATTACAGTCATTGACATTAATGTCACATTAATTAAATCTCTTTCACATACATGTCCTGGCCAAGGAGGTTACAAAACACATTACACTGACTTATAATGACCTAGCTAAAATATGCAAAGACTAATAAATCAAACGGCTGGAGAAGAATCGATAAAAATAACATCAACAAACCATATAAGTAATTAAAAAGTGAGACATTAAATACACAAAATGGATAAATAAAAGCCTTGTATGTGCTGTAGCGTTTGGACCCAAAGCAAAGATTTTGAAAAAGAAAATGTTTAGTCTCAATGAACCTGTGTGAACACAGCGTCCCTTGTGCACTGAAGCTCCCTTTACCAGCTGGGCAGGCAGTCATAGAGGCCGGCTTCAGTTGGAGAGTAGGAGGTGGGCAGACTGGAGGGAAGGAGGTGCAGGGGTGAGGGGGCTGAGGGACCAGGTTGGAGAGTCAGCTGGTCTATCAGAGCCTGTGATTAATACACTGGGGCTGCTCTGCACCACCTCCGCACCACACTGTCCTCACCTCCAATTAGCATGCTAATGAACCTGCACACGTGTGACCGTGTATGTGTGTGTGTGTGTGCGTGTGTCACCTGAGGGCTCATTCTTACTGTGCAGCATAGACAGAAACAGGCTGGCATTCAGAGAAATGACTGCTGCTCTGCTAATTGAGATTGTGTGTGTGTGTTATGGACTGTGACCCTAGTCTTACTCGCTGCTGTTATGGTAACCGGTTAAACAGAAATGTTTTCTCTGTCTACTTATACCTGTCATGGTGACCTTTGTTCTTTGTGATTGCTGAGTGGTGGACATATGCAGTCGTAGCTCGTTCTCCATGGGGAACAGGCTTTACAGGTCGACCGTGACATGAGGAGGCATATGCAAATATTCAGAGGCTGTAAACACACAATAATACACAGTCAACACATACAGATGAACACTATCAAAATATGTGTTGAGGAAAACTGACTACATTAAAAAAGAATTATCTTAAAGGTGCTGCAGTGTAAAACAATGTTTTAATAACATTAACACAATGTTATTGTGTTAAGACACAAAATTAATACACTTTAGAGGTGCTGGTGGATTTTGTTTCCTTTAATTCTAATGATTTAAGTATGTGAAACTTGACTTTTGAAAAAGCAACATTGTCACTGTTACAGAGTGAAATTAATGATTATTTTCATTATGAATTAATCTGCTGATTAATTTCTCCATTAATTGATTATGGAAATTCTGAAATAGTGAGGAATGCTGTCACAATTGCCCAGAGCCCAAAGTGACACATTCACAATGCTTGTTTCTCCAGTCAAAATTATTATAAATACATTAAAATAATCAGAGATGTAGTTGAGTTGAAGTAGAAAGTGGTATGAAAAGAAAATACTCAGTACAGATAGCTCAAATTTGTATTTAATTTAAGTTCAGTACTTGAGTAAATGTACTTGGTTACTGTCCACCACTGGTTTTGTGCATAATTTCCAACACTTTCCCCCCAAATACATTCCTTGTCAATCCTTTAGAATTCAGGTTCTGTGGATCTGAAGAAAATGTTTGGGTGCACAGTCTGACTCACAGGCTGATCAGTGAGGTGTAAGGGTTTAACATTTCAGTACAAAAAAATTGCATTTCGAAAATACAGATGGTATGATACATGACAATAACTTTCAATATGTTCTTCCTCATTAATTAATAAAGTGAAAAGAGAAACAAATATATATTTACAAGCAAAATTGTTTATGAGAAACATTTAGGAAAACAAAAGCTTCTATAGGACATACGCTACTATGGAGTGACTTCCTTGTTCTTTTGTTAGTGGTGCTGCAAACCATAATTTCGTTGTCCAGCATCCAATATGTAAAAAGGCAGCAACCACATATTTCATCTGCTTAGATTACATACATCAACAACCAACCTGTCTGTCTTTTGGAAATTATAGACTGAACATTAGTTTACATGCTTTATAGTCAGGGTGCCTTCAGTGTGTCTGACATCACCTTGCTTAAAAAAACTGTACATCAACTCCCACTTTACGAATTTAAGATTCCTCATGAACAACACTATAATCCTATTCTCATTTCAGCCTTCTGGGTGCACATGTATGTACAAAAATGTCTGTGCATTTAAGTGCCTGAGTGTGTGTACGCACACAAACTGCGTTTGTGTGTACAGACGCAGGCAGGGAAACAGTGAGCAGCAGTGCTACAGTAACCTTTGCAATAATCAGTTCTGTCTGATGGGCCTCTTTAATTAACCTTGTAGGAAATTAATCCCAGTGTTAAATGGACAAGAAAAAGATGTTTGATTACCACCATGAGCCAACTGGGACTTCTCCCCCTGTCTAATTGCCCAGGAAGAGAGAACAAGAGAAAAAGTGGCAAGAATGAGAGCGCGAGAAAAGGGGAGAGGGGAGAGGGGAGAGCCGACAATCCTGTGGTGTCGTTTGCATCTGTGAATGTCAGTTAGCCCCTAGAGCACTGATAAGGCCTCACCAAGAAGAGAAAGGAGAGGGAAAAAGAGAAGACAGGGAAGAGAAGGACAGTGAGGAAGAGAGAAGAAACATTTTGTTAAACTGAGAGGGACTAAACACTTCACATAATTTACAAAAATTCCAGAGTGGTTACTGGATAATAAGTAAGGAACTAAATCTTAAACGCTAACAAATAGTTCCTGAGTAGGCTAAAGGCCTCAGTATGCTTCTAACTCAGTTGTGCTAAATGTCCACACTCAAAAGTTGGGGGACAAGCTGGCTGTCTTAGCGTCCTCCTGGCTGGAGAAAATTCTCTACCATCTGTGTTTCTATGTAGCGTCAACAAAATAATCATGCATTCAAACAGTCTCTCCTTCAGAGCCTTCATTGTGTTGCACCCGGTTGTAAAAGTGTGAAATAACAAGAGACTTTGAGAGAGAGAAGTTCATAATTTCACACCTCTTCATATCTGGCCAATCATTTTGTTAAGGGGGTAGGATTGTTCTCTTTTTGAAAGAAAGGTTACAGGAGCTGACCTGGACTTTGAATGAATGATCTTTATTGTCATTATACTCAGATAATACTAAATAAATAGATAATAATAAAATTTTGTGTACAGCTTCTCTATGTGGGTAAACAGATAATACATGTAATGAGGTAAAGCAAATAAATAAAACCAGTAAATAACTAATAATTAATTACATGATTAAATACAATTGTAGCATGCTGACGCCTTAACTCTGAATCAAGGTCGATGTATAGTAAATAATGTCACTTGAGAACAGACTGCTAGATACTATGAACCAGTGTGTAATGGTTCGTTACACAGATCAATGTGTATGTGAATATCTGATATCTTTGAGTCTGATATTTTTTTGTGTCAAGTAAAGTGGCTTATCCTATGAAATCTGATGAACAGTTTTAACTGGAAATGTACTTTTAGTTCATGAAGATTAACAAATATCTAGGAATTAATCATTAGAAACTGATTTAATAACAGTATCCAGAAGTCGGTTCTCAAGCCTTTCTGTGCCATATGGTTTGGAGTAAGCCAGAGCTATGAAGATGTAATAGTGTGACTCAGAAGTAGTGTTTGCTGCTCAGATCACACTTGCAATAAAAAAGATGTTTTACCACCTAAAGGTTTTAATACTCACATCCATCCTTCTGCTAATTTAAATCCATGCTTTCCTCACCGCTCCCTCCCTAAGGCCTGTTCGAGCAGGTGCTTCCCCTCTCTCTTCACTAATGTCTCCAGATCTATGCACTGACCTCAGCTATCCATGACTCATCCTGCAGCGTGCTGGCTCCGTGTGTCGGTGCATGTGTGTGTTGGCTGTGTTCACCGGTGTGTGTCGATTTCCCGGATCCCTGCAGGTGTCTGTATCAATAATCCAGAGGGCAGAGCGAAGTGAACCAGCGGAGGCTATGTCCGCTGTTTGCAACTTTGGCTGATTAGTCTGTCCACAGAGATTGGGTCTGTCTGATTGTTATGTCACAGAGTATGGCAAAGTGGTCTGTCTTCTCTGTCTTTTTTTTTTATATACTGACACTTTCCCATTAGTTACAGAAAAAGGTCATGGGGTATTTGTTCCATCTGCAGTTATTAGTCTTTTATTTAAGGGAATGAAACAAGAAAAGTGTGAGGTGACCATTTTTCCCCCTTACAAAACACATAACAGTGTTGGGCTACTTGAGAAATGTCAATCACTCGCTGAAAAAGTAATTTTATTACTTCACCAATTATAGACAATTGCTGACACTACTTTCGTTACTCAACCCAGCTTCTTCGAAGGTGACTTTTATTACAAAACCTCCACACTCACTTGTTGCATCTTCTGTATTTAACACATAGAGCAATAGAAAACAAGACATTGTGGTTAACAAGCAGCCAGCCTACTTTTTGGAAGTATTTACTGGTCTTCAACACTTAGCTTAGACCCAGTGACTGCACATCGCATTCCAGGGGTCCCGTCATCTCTAACTCTGAACAAAACCAGGTGATAGGCTTTCCAGTGGCTAGCCTTCACCCAGAACCTCTAGGTCCTGCGCCAAGCAAAAACATCCCCGATCAGTCTAGAGGTAGAAAAATCACATCAACGCTCCCATCCAAGTCCTGGTAAAGCAACAAACAAGCTGAACTTCCAAAATGTCAAATTAATGTTATATAATGTGAGTGAACATTACATCACTGAATGTTAAATAAATCACTGTAAAGATGCATTTATACTTCTCTGTTACTTTTTACTGTTCTCCTTGAAAATATAGTCACCAGTCACCACCCATCGGGGCTAACACAGCTGTGAAGCTACCACATGGGGAACTGTGATTGGCTGTTTGTGTTTCCCTCTACATTCCCTGATGCCAGTATCAGAGTGAGTACAGCATGAAGCATGTTGGATAAAGCCGGAGTACGGGCTCCTTTAGTAACACACATCTAGTAAATCCATTTACACTGCAAATCCTCTTCTCACAGCAACCTCTGGTTATTGTCAGTGAAAGAAAAAATGCCAATATGACAGCATTGAATAGTCCTATATTCAGTAAGTAACACAATTACTGTGGGGAATATAATTAAAGCATGATACGGCCCGATCATGGATGATTTACCCATTTAGTGTTGCAGTGGGGAAGTCGTTAAATAGTAGTGGGAAGTCGTTAAATAGTAGTGGGAAGGTAAAACTCTAAACCTAAACCTACACCTACATAGCTATATATAACACATTACTGCCCAACACTAACACCTAATTTAAGATTTTGCTGCTAGACTGTTGTCTGCTTCTATAGAATTCCTTCACTTGATGATTTGGGATATAGCCTCTGCCACAACTACCTACTGCAAAATGTTGCTCTTAACTGGCATAGCAGGTATGTGAAAACAAGTATTAGCTAAGATAAGAGCTTCTCTTTATTAGAGGCTGTAGCCTCTAATAAATATATTAGAAATGAATATCTATCAGGCATTATCTATTATAAGGTAAAAGTTATAGTAACTTAGTTAACTCAGCGAGTATTTAAAAAGTTCCCTAAAAAGCACTGACCATGAGATTAACTGACTTGATAGACATCTGTTTTTCAGATTAACATTTATATGTGAGTCTGTCTGAATATTGTTCTTGTCAGTCGAGCGTTCCACTAACTTCACTGTCTACAGCTCACCATGCTGTCTCCTCTCCTCGTTAGTGTTAACTCATCAGCAGGGTCAAACTCTGAAAACACACATTACAACACAGCCAAAAGATCACATTACATCATTTGAATAAATACAAGGCAATTTGTCACTGTCATGTCAGAGTTGCCCATTTCTCTGTCTGCCCTCACTGGCTCTCTCATCCTCCTCACTACCCCCACTCCTCCTCTCCGCCCTGCCTCCTCTGCCCCGGCACAGCAGCAGGAAGCAGTAATGCTGATTGTATTAACCTCTCGTAGAGAGCACTGACCTTTGCTTCTGTTCAGCTGGGGGTAATAGTCCAGGAACACAAACAGATATACAGTATGTCTGAATGCGTATCCACACTCCCCACTACATTACTCAGCCAAAGTTTTTTGGAAGAATTTGGGGGGTTTGTGCAATAAAATGTGTCAAGTGTGTTACAACATTGAGACAAATTCTTTCAACAGTTTGTCTAAACGCGGCAGTTCTGTGGTGGGTCCAACAAGAGCGAGTGCCATTTTGAAAACAATCTTGGACTTTCTTATGGCTCCCAAAAGCGTAGTGGTGTTTTCTCCCAGGAGCTAAGGGGAAGTCAGGACTCCCTCATAATTGAAAATATTTTTGCCATTTTGATGACAAGCTACTCACACTGTGGCCTGTCAATAATCACAAGTTTGCTAATGTATTATCATGTATTACTGACATAATCTTCAGTGCTTAAACTTATACAAGATGTGGAGTTTTAACAAGCCTTCCAAAACTGTTACTATTAACAGTTTCAGAAGTATAACCATTGTATGATCTTTGGTTAGGCATAGGCATAAAATAACCTGGTAAAGGGTAGGAAAATAATATGGTTAGGGCTCAAATTGCTACTTTGTTAAGGTTAGGGGACCTTTGTTGGTAGGAAACAGGAAATGAACAGCAGTCTCCCATGTTAAAGTCTAACGTTTTGTGACTCATTTTCTCCTGACAGATGAGTCATCCATTCAGCTGATAGAGGACTTTGTCCCTTGATCTTACACACATGTGCATTTGCTGAAAACAGCTGACACTGTTGTTTCTCAATTGTGAGACAATCTCTGAGTTTTAGTGAAAAACCAACTGTAAAGCATGACCACAGCAGCAGGTGCAGTGGGAAATTATATAACATGGATGTTGACCACTTTGCCTCCATGAAGAAAACCTTCCCTTTCTGTCTCTCTTTCTGAATTCAATGAATCTCTGTCTCGCTTTGCTCACTCGTGGCTTTACTGATTTCTAAATAGAAGTAAAAGGCTGTATCTCCTAACTCCCTGTGTAGTTGTTGATGTTACAGAGATTATATTGCTTGAATGTTCTGTACCTTATTTGTGTGTACACAGAGACACAGTAGACACGATGATATGAACAACTGCAAATTTCCCCAATTCTGCATTTATAATGTAATCACCACTTTGTAATGGTGCCTTGTGCAGAAGATCTTCTGGTTACTTGTTACAATGTTTTAAGATCCTCTGTATAATAAGTAATTGGCTTTAATAATTAGCTAGATTAGCTATTGGCTTGTGTAGGCTGTTTTTGTATGCCAAAGATAAGAGTGGTGTGTAAGTCTGTATTGATACAAGGTTGATACTGAACGTAACATCTAATTACTATGTGAATGGATTTTATGTGGTTAGTTGCACTCCACTACTGATCTGTACTTGTACCTGTATCTGAGCAGAAGCTTTGCTACTACTATATTAGTGTATAATGTATAGATATGTACATAAAATATTTGTTATATTTCATCACCATGCAACAGTATGTCAAATGAGAGCTAGAGGTGAAGTACATACACAAAGTCATCTTTAACACATGATCTTCAAACTGAGCTGAATATACTGAATCATAGTGCCACTGACCCAAGCAGTTCTGTAGTTTTAAGCACCTGTTACTGTTGACTGAAAGCACAGTTGTCAGCTCAGCAGTGATACACAGTATGTGACTGCCTGGTTAAAAGCATATGATTACACAGCAAACGTCTGTGTGGCATAACTCAGCTGTGATAGCTATTAACATTGAAAACAATTTCTGCATAATTTGAACTGAACGTAAAAGTCTTAACAGGCAGCAACAGACTGAACCTACTACTGAGCTGAAGTCTGTCAGAATCAGCACTGGAGGTCACAACGGTGAATTGTTCACTTGCTGATGTGCCTACTGAAGTGCATTTGAACAGTGATGCAACCATCTAACTAAAAAAAAGTGAACTTGTCTAGGAATCTTTTAGATGAACCGAAAGAAACAATTCGACTGAGCAAATTGATTTGTAATGTTCACCTCTAAGCCTTGCCTCTAAAATAACACCAGCAGTGTAAGTTTGTAACACCAATATGGACTGTCTCACTTTGTTTCCTCTCAAGTTTCCCCGTGCCACACCACACCAGTGCTAAAACGAGGGAGCCATTAACCCTACAGTTTCAGGGTTAATATCACCTGGCCCCTCTCTAAAAGAACAGCTGGCCCGTTTTTTAAATGGGGCCTGAATCACCACCACTGGTAGCCAACTAAAAAGAACTTCATGTTTGCTATACTTTAATTTGCTGGGTTGACAGATGATCAGTGTATCTATCACCTGTGACTCCCTGTCCATGTGATATCTTGCCAAAATATCACCCACATTAACTTTGACACCTTCACACTGAGATCTGTGGTCCTTGATATTAACAAGAAAGAGAAAACGGGAAACTTATTAAAATAAAAGACGGCGTTGCTTAGAAATGGACATTAGATGTTACAGTATAATAGAAGACATATGTTGCTGCTGTTGAAATAAAAAAACATCTTGTTATCTAGTTTGCCAGAAAGGAAAGCCTTTAATAAAATTATTTCTCAGAGATGTGTGTGAGGCGGAAGTCACACGGGGCACCTCTGAGTGTACGGGGGTTAGCACAACAGCTCCAACCCCCTGCACTCTTTCATCTGGCTGTTTCAACATCCCTCCATCGCCTCCGCCTTTTCCACTCAACTCTCTTAAACAAATCCTTTTTTTTTCTGACAACCTAATACACACACACACACACACACACACACACACACACACACACAAATAACCCCAGGGCAGAGTTGTGACCTATCCAGACTTTGACCTGTGTGGGTGAGACAGTCAAAGTCCTCGTGTACACAGATGTACTCTTGGCTTTTAAAACCGCACAGTCTTTCCTTTCCTTTCTTTTCTCCTCACCTCTTTTCTCGCTCGCTCGCTCGCTCGCTCTCCTTTCCCTCCAGCCCCTCTGGAGACTCAGTGATAACCAGGGTAGACGGGAGGAGGAAGGGAGCGGAGGAAAGAGGGGTGGAGGGGGCGGGGTGGGTGAGAGGGAGTTGTGATGTCCCGACTCAGGGATATTTAATCCTCTCTGTGAGGGGCGAGCGTCTCTCTCCCTCTGTTTGGCTTTGGGAGATCAAAGAGGCAGTTCAGATCCTGGCGAGATCGCTCGCTCTCTCCCCCTGAGTGGACCAGAGACACTCACACACACACACACACACTCTTAAGTACTTGGGCCGACTGGCGAGGACGTTGGTGGTGGTAATGAGGCAGTGATTGATGGGACTTTATGCTTCTTTACAGCACTGTCTTAAACCACCAGTATATGAGTCCACTCCAAATAAAATCAAATAAAAATGGCTGGTTAAGACAAAAAAGAAGACCCATGTTCACCTTCTATCAAGAATATCATATGATTTCCTTTGGGGTTGAACTTTCAGCTTTAGTTAACTTTTTTGCTTAAAGAATCTTTGTACTCCGGTATGCTCCCACTTTTGGTTGGGGATTCAGCATGCCACTTTGGTCCAGACTGAATTATCTCAACAACCACTGGATGGATTGCAATTACATTTTTTTTTACAGACATTCATGGTTCCCAGACAATGAAGCTGCCTGACTTGAACATCATACTTGTTAAACAACAGCATGTTAGCTTTGTCACTGTGAGCATGTTAGCATGCTGATGTTAGCATATAGCTCAAAGCACCACTGTGTCTGTATAGACTCACAGAGCTAGCATGGCTGTAGACT